AGCCGCCGCCGCCCCGCCCACACTCACTCTCTGTCTGATTCCGATCAACGGGTAAATCACAGCGGCCCGCGGGCGGGGCGGGGCGGGGGCGCGCCGACATACCAGGCCGGCGGCCGCACCGCCGCCGTGTGCGGCTCGCGAACACCTCCGCGCTGAGGAATGTTTCCACGCTGCCGTCCTGTGTCGGCCCGCGGGTGGCGGCGGGGCCATCACCACATCGTCGTTGTTGTTGTTTGTTGTCGATGATGATGATGTTGTTGTTGTCACTATTATGTTTATTACCTCCGGCCGCCCGCCCTGCCCGGCCCGTGCGACCTCTGCTGGTGTTCCGCGGCCGCGTTTAGCTGCACGCGTGACGCTGACGCTGCTCGCGGGTCGCGTTGCAGCGCTGCGCTAGCGCGGTGCAGCTGCCCCCCGCCGCCACGCCACGCCCCTCGGCGGCCTCGCGTCGCCCGCGGGCCAACGCACCGCGCCACGCTGGTGTGTTTTGCGGTGCGCCGCGCCGCTGCCGCTGCGCTTTTTCTTTCCTCGGCTTTATTATTTATTATTTCATTACACGACGAAGGCCCTGGTTTGTCGTGTATAGCGCGCCGCGCCGTGTCGTCGTGGGGCGGAATAATTGCTTCGCCAAAGGGGTTCAGGTTTAGGCCCCAATTTCCTCTTTGCCCCTTTGAGTTAGAATCCGGCCGCCGCAAAGGGCGCACTTTCTACACAACTTTTTCTTTCCCCCACGTCGTGCCAACTCCCTGCGCGCGCGCTGGTCTGGGCCTGGCCGGCGCGTGGTTGTTCTGGTTTAACAGCGCGTTCCCACTGCATTTCCATCTTGTGCTTCCCACCCGCCCCGCCCATAGGCCGCCCTGGGTTCGTTCATCAGATAGCCCCCCCGGCCGCCGCGGCGGCGGTGGTGGCGGGGCGGGGCGGCGCGGCCTTTTCTCTGCCTTTTTATCGCCTTTTGTCGCACTTCTTTTTCGCGTCGGCGTTGGAACGAGTCGACGCTGCTAATTTTGTGCAAAGTGCATGCTGCCTGCTGTCCGAGTGGTGCGCGGTCGCCTCTGTGGTGCAGGTGGTGCGCCTCGACCCTCGCCAGTGCGAGTGTGCCGAAGGTCGCGTCAAGGGCCTTATCGTTGGGGGAGGGGGGGGGGGGGGGGTGCGTGGCTGCAGGGCCGAGCCGGGCCAGGCTGTGCCGCTGTGCCCTGTTATGCAGCGCAACGCAGCCGCACCGGACCGGACGGAGTTAGTTGGCTTCTCTCTTCTCCTCCTCTCGCCTCGCTCGGGGGGCCTATCTCGCTCGGCCCGTCCGCCCCGCCTCGCCCGCCCGTCCGCCCCGCTCCTCGCCTGCCTCCGGGCGACCGGCTGCGTGGTATGCCATTCGCTTCCGGTCTGAATTATCCTGCGTGCCTGGCCTGGCCCGGCCGCCAGCCCCGGCCCCCGCCATGGTAATGATGATGACGCGGTGCTGACCGACGTAACGCTAACGTAACTCTGATGCGCTCTGCCCGCCGACCGTCTCGTCTGCCGCAGCGTTTGCTCTGGCCGAGGAGGTGTCTGCTGGGGACGTGGTGGTGCTGGTGCTGGTGCCCGCAGCCCCGCCCGCCCGCC